TAAATTGTTTTAGTGATCAAAACTCAGGCGAATGTAATAATGGAAATTAAGTCAGTTATTTCCGCCTGAATGATCCATTGCATCAAAGAATAGCTGAATAGCACTCCCAGAAGTACAGCCGGTTTATTCTTTAAAAAGAAGTACCAACATAAGCTAGCCTAAAAAAAGGCAGCCGGTACTCCCAGTACATCTAAACCACCGCCTGCCTCTTCTGAGGAGGCAGGCGCAGAATAAATATGGTTATACTAACCAATTTTTACGCAAAAGCACCGCACACGGTTTGCTATCAGATAGCAAGGCCCTAAACTCTGGGCTCCTAACGCAAAAACGCAGCCCGGAAGATAGGCAAAACAAAAGTCAAATGGTTTTCAAAGACCGTGCCCCAACCGGGGCTGCACATGGTTTTCAAAGACCGTGCCCCAACGGTCCCTGGCCGGGGGCATATGGATAGCCGCCTGGCTGAGTGCAGCTCTACCAGGCATCTATCCGAGGGCAATATTCCTAACCCCATCCCGTCTCAGGTTCACACGGCAATAATACTTGAAGAAATTTGAAAGAAATTTGGCATAGAGCAAATTTTAAAGCAGTGCAAATAAGGAGAAATCATTCAGCAAAACCGGCACAGCCGGTGAGAAAATATATATATATTAATATTCAAAATAAAATACAACTGTAGAATAAGCCGACTCCTCCGGCGATATTACAAGATAATGCACGGCACGCAGGCCGGGAGGTCGTTGCTATTCTAACTGCACGGTCACCCGGTCATTCGGAGTCTGAGTCTCTTCCGGATGTGGTGGTGCAGCGGTGGGGACGGAGTCAAGAACTTCTTCTCTCTCCTCCTCCTCTTCATTAGTCGCCGCCTTCTCCTGCATCCTCTTAAACTCCGCCTCAACTCATTTGTCATAGGGTTCAGGCCCCGGCTGACCCTCCTCCTCAGCCAGAACGACAAGATCTGCGTATTTGTAGGCGAGCTCCCAGACGTTGTAGTTTGTACCCGGATGGATAATGGAGAACGCTCTTTTCATTCTGTTCTCGCAGTCTTACTCATTCTCCTCAATGAGTCGGCTCTGTTCTGCTTCAAGGGTGGCCTTGACGTTGTCATTTGCAGCAGCCGCATCCTTCTTCAGGCGGTCATTCTCTTTTTGCAGGCGGTCGCTTGTCTTCTCCGCCTGCTCCAGCCGCTTGAGAGGTTCCTCATGATCCTTGAGTTCCTTCTCGGCATTGTTCAGCGCCGCCTGAAGGTTGTCCAATTTGGTCTTGGACTCATTGAGGGCCTTCTAAAGGGTCTTGACCTGGTCCGCCTGCCGCATGATTATAGATTTAGTTTCTAAGTCATGCACAATCATTGAATCTTCAGCAACTTTATGTGTGTCATCCGCAGATCGTTTGGCCCTCCTTACCTCCTCCTGTTTGCGTATGTAGGCCTTTTTGAGCCCTTCCACGCGCAGCAGTGCTTGCAACAATACAACCGGTGTTAATAGAAAAACCGGATGTGTATGCATCAAATAAAATGCCGGGTGGGTACTTCGAGCTTACATCAGCTAGCTCGACCATTACTCGGTCGGCATTGAAGGTGTTGATCCTAGGGATCGCTTCCTTCTCGTCCCGAGGGACGGCTTTTAGCATGGCTCGGGCATACTGAGCTGCATCCGACCAGCGTGGAGAATTATCTGCACCAGAAACAGACGGTGAGAAAGCTGCATATGCTCCGCCTATGGATTGCCGGCTGATCGGAGAATCTTCCGGCTGAGACTGAGAATAAGACTTAACCCGCATGGGCACGCCAAGAAGCGTGAGGTTGAAAGGATCTGTACCTTGTTGTTGGAGACCTTTCTGGCCTCCGTCAGTAGATGGATCGGCTGAGGTCCTTATTAGTGTGACCTCTTTTAAGGCCACAGCTTCAGCAGTTGACCCACCTGGGGTCTTTATTGATTTACCGCCGGTAGTGGGCCGGACGGTAGATGTGGTTTTCTGCACCTTAGATGCAGGCTCCACTACAGTCGGCCTCTGCCGAATCTGCTTCTGTAGGGAGCGAGGAGCTTTGCTCCCATCCTGAAATGAAGCAACAAAGGGTCAAACGGAAAAACGAACAAGCAAATAAAAGTGAAGCAAATAAATCAAAGTATGGCAACACAGACGATCTAACCTTCTTAGCCGCCTGGGCGGCAAGCTTTTTCTCCAGATTCTCCTTGCGGATATCTGAAGCCTTCTTGGCAGGCGTTTATTCTGTTGGCAGCATGTTCTTTGCTTCTTTTGCAAAACACAAATCAAACACGTTCGGTCAAGATCAGAATAATAACAAAAGGCATTGTAATCAAAGGGAAAGTATATATCAAGCGAAGAGAACAACAAAGTCGGTTTTGATCGCGCCAAAAATAATTCATATTATTATATAATACTTCATATAACTCAATGACCGCGCCAAAAATAATCAGAAGACAGAAAAGTCGATTTTGATCAGTTCAATTTAGTATATATCAGGCGAAGAGAACAGCAGCATACTTTCATGATTTATGTTCCTCTTATATTGACCTATAACAAAACATCAGCATAATGGATCACACTTACAATACAGTTCAAATTGCAATTTTTTTGGCCGACTATTTGAAACCAAAACATTCACCTGATAAAATTCATCTAGCGTTATAGACATCATTCAGTGAGTGCTCCGCACTATGTTTCCTTTTCTCAGTTCAACCACATGTCCAAGTCCAATCAATGTAACGTCGTAACCAAATGGTCATTACAATTGAATAACAGCCAGGCTCCTGATTTTTACCTGATAAGATCAGTAGGAAATGTATGCTAGCTCCACTAGTTTCCTAAATAAACACGCGATGCTTTACCAAAAGAAGACGCTAGACTGCAGGAAGAACAAGGTGCTTCTGATAGCGACAAGCATAACAAAGATCTAATGTATTAGCTCTGCTGTATTCACTGAACAGAAATATACAATCAGATATCGCACTGAAGACATGCATAATATTATATATTACATACTATTAGATGAGTTTTTACTAAATCTTCACTGCCGATATTCTTAAATTTTATAATCCTAATTGCAGTTAGGCAGCACAACATTGTACTTCTAATCACAAAAGCTTTACATTATCTTGTTATATTAATCACAAGAGTACGGCTTTGTCATTTGATATCAGTCATGCTGAAGCAATAATGATTCTAATTCATTAGAAAGTCAGACACAAATCTCTATCTCAATCTTCATTATCAGAGTCTGAACTAACTTCTGTTCTCATTGCTAATACAGTCAGAAATCAGGTCTGGGAGATCATTTCAGTATTAGCAATCAGTTTACTGCAGAATTCAGATTGATGATTTCGGATTAGTTCATCAATCTGAAATCTAGGAAAGCAGAGAGGCCAGATAGCACAAGGTTGCAGACTAATTTTACTACAAGCTAAAATAGTCAATAAAACACCTTAGCCAAATCACAGCCAGAGCCAGACTGACATGCTTTAGCCGGACTCAGTAATACAGACCTTAGACAACAATCAACGAACATCTGAAAAACAATTTAGAAGAAAATGTTAGGAACTTTGTGAACTTTTTTCAAACATCGCAAAATAGAATACACAGTGAAGGGGGGTATGTATTCTTATGTTTTCGTATCCCCATTATCTAAAGTTGCTGATTTTACTATAAACAGATTTAATGATTTATATAGAACTTCAAAATTACCAAAGATTTGTGACAAACTGTCATCTTCACCTTACCCTTCAATTGCCATGAAATTCTAGATGTTCTGAACTTAGTAATAAAAAGTACAATAGTCAAGCCTAATCAAATACGAATGAGGACATGATTAAGTTTTGTAGACTTATTTGTGTTCACTTCTCCTTCAAAATGGTAAGGGCACAGCTAAGCCTAACAAGTTGTGTAGAGCCAAGTTATAGTGTTAGAGCTCACCAGGAAAATTGTTAGGTATTTCTTAATCTTTAGTCCACATTTAGTAAAAAGAAAATTATAAAATTGTCCACACTAGAAATGAAGGAATGTTTCACAAACAATCTACACAAGGAGGTGTTTGCATGAATAAGGGGTTTACATTTACTATTACCCAAGTAAGTCTTAAGTCCCCCTTAAAGAAATAGTTGGTCTGTTGTGCAATTGGTCTCGCTCAACTTAAAGGTGAGACACGCATCAAATCACTCCTCAACATTATAACAAGTAACCCCTTTATAAACAAAAGGCACCCTAGCATACATAAAAAGTCACTGCCGACAGACGACAGTATACAAGTTGCCCCAAAACCAACTGGTGACACTGAAAAACGCTGTTTCTCCTGACCAGAAATAGTGGGAAATGGGAATACAATAAACCTGTTGTAATCATTCCGGCGGGGTGGCAGTCCTCTCTTGCCTAATTTTCTGTCTACATACATTGGAGAGTTTTCTGATTATGATAAATGGATAAGGGAGTCTTGACCTTAGGCTAAGTGTTTTATATTGGAATAAGCTTTACAGTTTGACAACAGTTCTGGTTTAACAACCTAATGAGGCTGCAATTGTCAACTAACTCAGCTATTTGGCAATAGTTTTGACTTCTTCAGCATAAGCTGATACAAGAACATTCCAATTAATCTCATCTATTTTGTCAGCAGATAGTTGCCGTCATTATCTAGACAAAATATACTTTGATCATTGAAACCACCTACCAAGCTGCAAGGATTCAGAGCAGACATTATAAAGGTCAGATGACACGGTATAAATTCTTAGATACTTCCAGCTATCAGCTAATTGTTCAAAAGAATTATAACATGCCATCAAAAAAACTATAGTCACGCTTTGAAATTGCCTCAATAACCACCCAATTATTGTTTAAATATCGTATTGATTTATAGGATTTGGTAGTACCACGTCCACATAAACCAATGAGGAAGTAAGGAACTACATTCCGCTATGTGGAATGGGTATGAAAATATAATTCGCTACATAACTTATTTTGTGGTTTAGAGAGGCACAAAGACTTGATAAGACCTACAACAAGGAAATTGCACTTTAAAATTTTCGATAGAACACCGTCGCTACAAGTTTCTCAAGTGTGAAGCTAAACGAAAGAATGTGTAGGTTTATGGGGGTAAAATATTCATTGAGGTAAGTAACCACAAATCAAAAGGAATCAGGGTGCACCTTTTTAAAATTGTCTTAGCTAGATGCATGATAAGGCATATCTAATGACTAAGGCAGATCAACTTTCTAAATTTTTCAAAGGGTTAAAAATAAATTAAAAACATAATTTAAAAAAAAAAAAACCTCCTGGTACTTAAAATTGATACAATAAAGATGAATAACATATTAACTTTAGAGCACTATAACTTCATATTTAAGTAAAATGCAACAAGCATCAACTCAAAAGGCTTCAAAAAGTTTTTACACTGTACACCATTGACACTTGGGCTTTGTTCTTTCCACATCCAAAGAGTACATTTCAGATTCCAATAAGTGTTAAGCAAACAGAAGTTCAGATAAGTTGCTCTCAGGTGAAAGGAAACGGCATCTTACTATCAAAAATCAAAAGATAGAGTGATTTGACAATCAAAAATCTAAATCTCCGCCAAGGCGCCAAAGACTTAGTGTTGTTTCAATCATTTACAAACTTGCATGTATATCCAATTCTGTATGAGAAGGAAATTTACACAGCTAGGAAAACCAAAGAAAACAAGGAGCCATATATGTTCTCTAAGGTATGGAACTCACCTCGAAGAGATGTTTCTATGCGATATAGGTTGTTTATCTATACATGATATACAGGGAACTCAAAACGCATTTAACTAAGCGATTTCACGACTTCATCTTATGAAAGAAACAGAAACACAAAATTCCTCCAAGATAGTGAGCATTCTTTTCCAGATATTAATTCTAGAAAAAATAAGGAGCTACCACACCATGATCGTCTAGAGATTTGATTAAGGCCAAAAGCAAAGGATCACCTGTCAAAAGTAAAAGACAAAGTCATAAAAAGCTTCTTCAATACATAGTAAAAATAGGGGAAAACTTTCAGAAATATACTTATCAGCAAATTATTCATTTTCACCGTCTTCATAATAAATTTGTGATTAATAAATTTTTCAGTGATCAGTGGGGCAATCCTTTTTGGATAAACAGAAATATGCTTGATATTAGAACAGAAGGTGAATCACTGTAGAGCAAAGCTATATCAAACACATAATGAGAATCACATTAGTACATTACAGCACCAAAGCAGTTTGGTTATTACATACAACAAAACTATGGCTGTCTGGCCTTCCATTATCTCTCCATCATTCATTCTAAGTGAAATTTGGAGTAACTCAATCGTAAGCTACAGCTATTTTAGGGAATGTGAAATATTTTAAATATTCCAATATAGTATATGTGACTATTAACACCAAAAGAGTCCTTTCACTATTGCAAAGATTGCGAATCTAGAAAACATATCTAGTAAGGCCTCCTAAGTAGGGCCCCTAATTCTCAGACACGGCCATTAAACTTGAATTTACTAGTAGATGAATGAGTTTTCAAGGATGATAATGGTTCACAGGCACCCTAGAATACTTCAATGTCGCATAGTCACACTCAAGTTTCAAAGAGGAATACTAGCGGCCAGTTCTTAAGATTTTATGCAATATGAAAAATGATCAATAAGATACTAGCAAAGGCAGACATGGAGAAAAAATGCGTATCGTATATGACATTTAGACTTTTACAATCTAAGATCAACATAAGAAAAGTTAGAAAGCATACCTCTTTAAGGCAACCAGGGGAACGACCTTCTGTTGGCAAAGGCTTCTTAGTCTTCCAGCGAGATATCTCAGCCTGCATTGAGTCAATTTTATCCCTAATCTCCCACAAAACTCTCAATTCTTCTTCTGCTTTATCAGCGTTTATTTCATGGCCTCTTGTTACAAACCTCTGATCCTTAAGTTGCTTAAGTCTTCTGTTGAACTGCTGAAATTCCAAGTCAGCAACGCCAAATGTTGGTTGTTTAAAAAGCAATGGCTTATCAGTCTTGCACTCTTTTGGTTTAAGTGAATCATTACTGCTACCTGGGGAAAACAATGGCTTCTTTTTCCAATCAATTTTCTCTTTGGCATCATCTGTCTTAGTTAAGCTTTGGTCACTATCTGGAGTTAACAATGGTTTTTTCTCCCAATCATTTTTCTCCTTGACAATAGACTTACATATCTTACCCCAGACAGAATCTAGCATTCCGTTCCTAATTTCACTTTCAACAGTCAGATTGTGGCTTTCTTCCTTAGAAGTACCATCTTGATCAACTAAAGAACATATTGGGACTTCAAAGATATCCTGAACACTTGTCGAGCAAGCAAAATCTTCACATGCTTGAACACTGGCTGCAGTTTCAGGAGATTCAAGAATATCTGATTTTGCAGGAGTATTTTCAGGGGAGGGATGCAATTGGAGATGCACTTGTTAGTGGAACATTATTTGTATCCTCAGTTGAAGGGAAAGTACTAGAGCCCTTAAGATCATCCAACTCCTTCAACCGTTCATCTAACTTCTTAATCTCTTCCCAATATGAATCTTGCTCCCTTCGAATATAGGGGTCTTCACCTTTACTTTCCTGCCATGGGTGTGGAGAGGGTGTTGAGGATTTTGTTCCCTCGGTAGAAGCTCGCCTACTCAACGCACCATTATTTGGAGGAGGTGGTAGTGAACTATTCCGTCTGAGAGTGCTTCGCGAGCTTGATTCTTCTGCATTTTTTCTTGACAACATGTTATCAGGATATTGTATCTCACAGGTACCTAAATCATCACACCCCATGCTCAAAAGTTTGAACCTGTATGCCTGAACTTGGAACTCAAGGGAAGCAATCTGCATTTCTTTCTGATATATTACTTCCTGAAAAGTCTCGAGTGTTTCTTGAGCATGACAAATCTTTTCTTCGGCAATTCTCTTATATTGACTAGCCTCCATTCCCACTGCTGCCTTTTCACCCTGCAAGCATAATATCATGGATAAAGCTTCATCAGCAGCAGTAGCAGAGGATTCTCTCTCCATATCCAATTCACTGTATAGTTTCTGCAAAAGTTCTTGCTGAGCATGGAGTGTCTCCTTTAGGTAATTAGTCCCAGGTGTGGCTAGAGATAGTGTACGTGCAGCCATTGGGCTCATCAATAGTGTACTTCAATTTTGGATCAGTACAGTTACTTGTACAACTGCAAAGATGCACAAGCATTCACTGAGCATGACAGAATGATTATCAAATACTGGTTTGCGTTAAAAAATCTGATCCAAAAGAATTCCTGGCAGAACGATGTATAACTAAAATAAGTAAACTGGTTAAAGCAATTTGCTGCTTTGCAAAGGTAGGTGCTATCAATGTTCTGCTCAAGAACCCCTAATAATCAACCTGCTAGAAAATTACCAAATCCTTGCTCTACGAACATCTTTAAATAACAAAATTAGGTTCAGTAACACGCTTACAGGCATTACCCAGTAAATTGAACCAATTCTCAAAACAACATGTTGAGCCTGCTAAGATTTTACTGGAAACACTAATTATGACAAGCTATTAACCAATCAACTAAACAATAAAGTATCATCGCACCTAGGAGGAGCTTGCAACAGCCACAACAGTCCAAAATGTACCTGGAAGCCTAAAGGTTCGTGACAACATCGACCTAATTTGTATCTGGAAGTCTAGGAGTTCGTTACAACAGCACCATCCGGTCCAACCCAATATGTATCTAGGAAATTCAAGTTATAAATGGCATCACCCTACCATACTACTGACACCAAGAACTAGACTATTAGTAGTGACTGTTTCTAAAAGACCTACAGCCAAACCATCAAGAAACATGATAGAAACTCCAATCAGTCTTCGCTATCCAATCGATTTCCAAACCTATTTCTCCTTATAAAGGATGCAACTCAGCAAATGATTCCAATCCAACTATTCCATACTCCACATATTGATATACTGTATTAAACAAGCCGGATATGCATAATTGCACACTGTGATAACTTTGCAAATTGGCCCTAAATTGTGATAAAATACTCAAATCTGACAATGTATACTCGTACTTAATTTCAAGAAACTGTAAAGCAAAAAAACACAGCAATACCAGAGATATATTCATCATCCCTCAATTACACATTTTCCACCCAATTCTATCGTTTAAATTCGTCATTTATTACCGCATACCAAACAAGGACGTTCATGCTACCAGAAAGACTTAACTAAAAAAAACAGGCATATTTAACACATTAACACCCATAATTCTCAAATTCCAAAATCTCAAAAAGGCAAATCATCGACTGCAAAAATCAAAAGTAAAAGAAATGTAAGATGAAGAAATATACCTGAAAAGTTCAGCAAAACAGACCAAAATTGTAACCTTTGACAAATACCCAGAACACCTGAACAAAAAAAAAAACCACTTTCTTTCACGTCATCGCACCATTATAAAATCTCAAAACAACAATTTAGATGACACCCATTTGATAATCACTCAAGAGTAAGAAAACCCAGTTTCAATTTTCCCTCTTTTTTACAAAAATGACAGAAATTTCTGCAACAAATTTCGAGAAGAAAAAAAACCCCAGAAAAATGAAGAAAAATTTAATGCAGAATGAATGAGTAAATAGTACTTCTACTCCAGATATTATTATTATCAGAAAAAACAAATGTGGAAACCAGATACAATAAACCGACAAATTACCAAAAAAAATTTATCTTTGGCTTTTCCAACGGTTTCGCTTTGTGGCTTTTCTTTTCAATTCTTTTTCCTCCCCTTGTTTTTCTTATCTTTGATCATTAGGAGGGTCTAGAATGATTACTCGAGTGAGAGATCTAAGCGATTGGTTTGGTTTGATAAAGGGATAATGCGAGAAATTTGTGATGAAAAAGGGTATAAGTTCTTAGATATTTGAAAATGAAAAAGAACGAGGTAAAAAATACAAAGTAAAATAACTATAGGTAATCAAGGTAAGAGAAATTATAAGGCTTCATTATTATAAAGTTGTGCAAGTGTTGAATTTTGAAAAGAATTTAATATAAGGGAGTTTCGATTCATATAACTGTAAAGGTATGAGATTGTATTGAACTATTGGATAAGTTTCTATTTGTCAATCTAGACTTGTAAGTTGTAACATTTTTTGAAAGACAAGTAAATGTGAAATATCAAGAGAGACATTTTTCAATAGAAGAAAAAAAGTTGTCAAATGCCAAATTAGTTGGTATGATAATAATTTATAGTATAAATGTTATTTTTATAATGTACATATGAGAAGTGCCAATTTTTACTACTTGTATTAGAGTGAAAAGTAAATCTAGTTTTTAAGATTTTTATATATATACTTGTATTATACTTTTATTTGGTTGCAATAGTAAATGTGAGGTATATAGATATTCTTTGCATAGTCTGTAAGTAAATTTATTGTAATCTTATTTAATTATTAGGAAAGAAATCAGGAGGCTAAACATAAATATTATTAGGTAAGAAATCAAGCTAAACATAAATATTTAAATTATTGTGATATGGCCTTTTTTACAAACTTTTTCTATAGTATTTATGACATAGTTGTTTGATATCTTAATGTGATTTTTTTTTTCTTCTATTTATTGCTATAAGGTTAAGGTCCTACTATCAAAACCTTTGAAATTGATGTCTATAATGGAGCTTAATTCCACAAAGTCAAAGTCAAAGACACCACATCTAACCACTACTATACGTACACCAATAGTACTTGATAATTTTATATCATATTTATAACTAAGAAAATACAAGTTTATTTTCGTGATAAACAAGTTTCACGGTGAAAATGGGTAAAACCGCTACTTGTTTATCGCGTGATAGCGGCTTTACTCCGTGATAAACGATTAAATAGGGTAGCTTCTAACTTATGCATGGCTTAAAATCTCACTTATAATAAATTACATATTGGTGTACTTCATACTAATTTGCACCTTTCATATAGTCAAACTTGTACAAATTAATTCAACATGAATAGAAGCTATTACATATATTTACTTATTTAGTTGACAAAAAAAAAACTAAAAAAGTATTTATCCAGTCTTCTTCGGAGTAAGTAGAACTTCATAAAATCATTGAATAACTATCTAAACAATGTTCAATTCTTTCCCACAATTAGAGAACTCCCTTATAAACACCATTGATAATAAAGTTTGTATCTAGGAACGGCTAAGAGAAGACCCCATTAGCGGTAAGCCACCCTCAACTAATTATTACTTTAATTATAATATTAGTAAAATTTTAAAAAATCGTATTCAACTACAACGGCTAAGTCGGATGTTGTGGAGCCCACTTATCAAAATCTACCGACCACTCCTTCTAAGCTAAGTGTTGGCCCATGCGAGGTCGGCAATATGATGGGATGTTAACATGTTTTATCGATTATAATTGATGTTGTGGACTGTATTTATTTAGAATCTACAAATGTAAATAATATTTAAAATAAGATAGCCGAGTTTAGTTAATTAATGATGAATAGAATAAAAGTGATGTTTAATTATCTTATGTTAAAATAACAATGTAGGGGAGGATTATGCATCCCAAACATATTCTAATCATAAGTAGCTTTGATTATAGAATGGTTTAATTATATTACCTCCGTTTTTTTTTTATCTGAGGAATATTTGTGAGACATAAAATATTCTAAAATTACAGATAAAAAAAAACAGAGGTAGTATTATGTTGATATTATGAAAGTATATATATCAAGACGAATGTAAAAAGATCACATTACAAAGTCCTCATTTCCTTCCTCTTCCATTACAAGAGAGGCTTCAACCAAGTCTTTCTCAAAAGTCAAAACTATCCCATTCATTCCATTCCTTTCTTTTGTTTAAACTCCATTAATTTACTACCTCCGTTTTTTTTAGTTAACACGTTTTGACTTTAGCACTATTCACACACTTCCCTTTGACCGTGTTTTGTGTTTTATACGTAATGAAAAATAGCCATGTATGATCTTTTAGATTCGTCACTATATATTTTCAAAATATCAAATTTTTCATAATTTTTGCTTATCGGTAATTAAAGATATGAATGGTTGAAATTGTACATTGGCAAACATGACAAAAAAAGCGTGTCAACTAAAAAGAAACGGAGGAAGTATATCTTACTACCGTGACTTATCCTTCGTCGAGTCTCTTTACCCAGCTCATGTTTGCATATCCTTTGAAAGACTCGATCACCCCCTTCCCTACGATTAGTCCTAGTGAACATCTTCCCATGGAAGTTGATATCATGTAGATCATTTATATCTTTCCATTCATAAAAACAGTTCGCTCCTCTAAAATTCGTTTAATGTTTACCATCTTTTTTCGTGAATAGAGTACTTGACTTTAAAATCCCCTAGAATAATATTTGGTATTCCTAAACTTGATTTAGTCCAATTGTTAAAACTTTCCCAAATCTTATCCCTGATAAACACATTGGGCTCTCAATACAACAAAATAAATCTCCAGTTTCCAAAAAACGAGTCAGAAACATGAAGAACTACAGCGAAATTAAAACAAGAAAAGACAATCATAAAACGATTTGTAATGTTCTTGCCTAATATTGAAAGCTCAGACCTCTTAAATCTATTATAAACAAAACTTTTGGGTTCCATGATCACTCATCTTCCTGGCTTCTCAACCTTGCAAGCTTGTTGGTGACAACAACATCAAGCTGTGCAGCACGCTCGACAATATCTTTTCTCTTTTTGGTTGAGATATTGTGAGCAATCTCAGCGCAGTAAGTCCTGAAATATACAATGTATACCAGTCAGCAATTACATGAAAGAGAGAACAAGGTGTGAAAGCAAAAGGTATCAAAGAATATAAAGGGCAATCTGTTACCTGTTGTGCATCATTAGAAGTTCAAGGTCACCGACGTTATGCACAACAAACTTCTTGAAGCCATTGGGGAGGAAGTGACGTGTCTTCTTGTCAGACCCATATCCAATATTTGGCATAAGAGTCACTCCCTTGAACTTTCTTCTCACTCGCGAATCAATACCTTTTGGCCTACGCCAGTTGGTCTGCAAATGTACAACCATTCAGATTAATGAGACATTTGATGAAACAACTTCAGAGTAAAATGGCACAAGAAAGGGGTTTTTTTGATACATTTGTATGGCCTCAGAAGAAACAGCGCCATACAAGGAAATACCCTACCCTAGACCAGTAACAGGGCATATAAACAAGGTATATGACCCATGTGGCTAGCATTTTCACAAAACATTCTCAATCGTGTCAGCATGCATATCAAAGTAAAACACGTTCTAGAAACTAATCATGGTTATTAAGCATTTAGTGAGTGTGCTTCCAGTATAGATTGTGCATTTGTGCTATAGATTACTTTTGCAAAACAATTGGGTGGGAAATTCAAACTAATGGACACAAGTCTGTCTTGAGCACCAAAAAGTGACATATTAAAATACAGCCCTGAGTTACTAAATTACAGATAATACAAATTCAATCACAAAAGATAAAAAAAGACATAACAAGGCTATATCAATTTCACATTGAAATTAGTTTTAAGTTTTAATATAAAGTTCTAACCAATCATAGTCAAAAAATGCATTACACGCCCTGAATTTTTGTATAAAAACATCACAATTCACAAGTCAAAACATGCATAGCCTACTAAAAGTTTCAGATTAGATAGACTGGTAGACATGGATAATCAAGCACCAACCCACATACAGGAAAAACTACCAAAATTTGGACTTCAGCATTAGGCCAGGTCATAATTGAATACCAAGGTGCAAGCTTCACACATTAATATCAGAACAAGGATGCCATACTTTTGTGTTTAGGCCCATCTACTTATTTACTAGCCCGTGATACGAATTTAGCTACAAATATTACAGAGTATATATTACTTGTACTATATTAGGATACAAGAGATCAGCTACAAGTCTATAACACAAAAAAGAAATTAATAAACAGGATGCCTCTAATTCAATCCCCAAATCTTGCCACCATCATTATATACCACTCATAGGTCATAATTAATCCATGATATACCATATGCCACTTATTATAATTCATCATTGATACATCATACGCCACTATACCCAAACTAACACATCACAATATAGATCACCAATACACTAATCTACACCGAACAAATTGTATCCTGTAATCTTCCTAGCTTATGAATAATTAAGCAACCAGCCAAACAAATTGTATTTTATAATCTTCCTAGCCTCTTAATTAATCAACCAACTCATATGAACTTCATCTCAACAATCATACCACTCGGCATAATAACTACCATTTTCACATAGAAATTGACTAAAAACAACATTAAAATCCAAAAAAAAAAAAAAAAAAAAAAAAAACTTTGTTGCAAATGTTATACCTTCACACAGATTTTTCGGTCGGATTGGGGTCTCTTGAACTGCTTGACCCTCTTCTTCACTATCTTCTTATCAAGTTTGGGAACCGCCATTGCTTATATCTACAAAATTAACAAAAAATATACTAACAAATAAATATTGACACACGTATATATATCAACTTTTCACAATTTTAATCCATGTATTATTTCATATAGTTGTTGCACTATACATTCAATTACTGCCTACAAAAATACACTATGCATTCAACAGAGTATAAGGTTATTCTGACAACTTATTAGTAGCAGCAAACGAAAATGGATTAATCTAAATTTATAACACGCTCATGGCATAGCATGAACCAACAATGAAGCTTGAAGACTTGAAATAAAAATGCAACCTTATTATATAATCAATAATTTGCAAGATAATTAAGCCATAATTTTAAACTGAAAGCAGCTTTAAATCTTGTTAAAACAGCAAATGAAATTCGTAAATTGCAAAAATATAACAATAATTAGGTCAATTACTCAAATAAAAGGGGTATACTATAAATCGCATAAATTTTACAAAAATTAACTTTAAATCTGGTTGAAACAGCAAATAAAGTTCGTAAATTGCAAAAATATAACAACAATTAGGTCAATCACTCAAATAAAAGGGTTATACTATAAATCGCATAAATTTTAACAAATATTAACTTTAAATCTGGTTGAAACAGCAAATAAAGTTCGTAAATTGCAAAAAATATAACAACAATCAGGTCAAACACTCAATAAAAGGGTTACTCTACTCTATAAATGCCATTATTTTAACAAAAATTCTACAGTTTAATCATCAATTCTAATATTCAATGCAACACAGAAAATTCGAAAAAAAAAAACGAATTGTTCTTCATATTAACAGGAATTTCAAAGCTTTAATCCAAATAAAAACAACAAATACAGCAACGACTACAAAAATTAAGCATAATTGAAGAATCAAACATGAAATTGAGAAGAAAGAAGAGAGGGAAACCTGTGATGGAAGCAGAGGAGAGAGAAAAGTGGACCGCCGCAGAGTGACAAGTGAAGACGACGAAGAAGGAGGTGCGAAGTGATTATAAGACTAAAACCCTAATTTTTTTAGCAGTGGGCTAATGTATGGAGCCTGAACTATAAACCTAGAACATTTTTAGTTATGGGCTTTTTATCATAGTTTATAGAATTACAACAATGCAAATTTTTAATTTTTTTTGTGGAGGTGAGCAAAATTGAATAAGATTGTCGAGCTTAGTTAATTAATGATGAATGAATGAAATAAAAGTAACGTTCAATTAATTAAAGATGAATATAAAAAAATAAAATAAACATACTTTCGTCTAAGAAATGAAACATAGGCTAGGATTAAGCATCTCGAAATATATTTGAATCATAAGTAGCTTTGACTATAGAACGATAAGATTATGTTATGTAGATATTGTGAAAGTAAATATATCAAGACGAATGCAAAAGGTTCACATTAGTTATATTTTTTTTATTACTTATAAATTATAATATGTGGCTAAAGAGTAGTATAGTATTTTTGTGCGAACGAGCTACAAGAGCAATACAAACTACAATTGGGATTAAGTGGGTGAATCTGTGGCATATTGTATACAAGTCTTCGATCTTAAAAACTCTAGGCCAAAACCTTATTGGTGTCAAAGAGTAAAATGCGAATAGTGTAAAAATTACAAATGTTGCAATATTAAGGGAGCAAAGAAATTATTGAATTTTAAACGATTCAATAATAATAGGAGTAGAATTCAAATTGACAAAAGGTTTGATTTTTATATATATTAAATGAAGAGTACTCACCATAATTTTTTCTAGCTTGCTAGTTCATTATATTCTTAAAAAACCTTTAAATTTTTAAAAGGTAATTTTAGTACACGATTAGTGGTTGTATTGTTGTAAGTGTTTAGAAAATATGTATTTGTGCTAAAGTAGTAAATTACTGAGATGAGAGGTATATATATAAAGAGCATGTCAAAATTAGGAATTTAGATGATCCCCGCAAGTCTTCGTGCTTATTAGTGCACGCTTGAAGCTTTGAAGTTAGTTGCATGGTGAAGCAATGGGCATTGCCTACTTGCCTAGCATAAGCAAGGGGTGCAGGTGTCAAGGACGGCTAACTACTGCTAATCCACACATCACATATTTATATTTCCCAAACTATATGTAATTCTAGTTACAACCTCTGCATTGGTATCAACAAGCTTTTATAATTTTGTAGGCCTCACATAACATTTTGAGTGTTTTATGTTAATATTGCTAGGACGATTTGCAATTCCATGTTAGATATTTAGAGTGTTGATGGTTGCGCGCTCGCGCATTATAGGCGCGGCCGCGCAGAGATCGCGCCTTAAAACCGCGCACCTCTCTGGAAAATCTGACGGATTTTGGAGGCGCGCTCGCGTCTTGAACGCGCCTAAACCGTGGACCATTCTGGAAAAATCTGAAGAATTAGGGCAAAGAAGGAGGCGCGACCGCGCGGGCAAGTGGCGCGACCGCGTGGGCAAGTGGCGCGGGCAAGTGGTGCGACCGCGCGGGCAAGTGGCGCGCCCGCGCTGCTGTGGTGGCGCGCTCGCGCCCTCGCTTCTTGCCAGTTTTGCGATTATTGCGTTGGTTGAGTCTATTTTATATAGAACTTGCTTTTTATGAAAAAAGATACAAAACATTATACTCCCATTCTCTCCCTAAGTATTCTCCAAAATTTCTCTCAAACTTCTTGCAAACTTTTGTGAGAAATCCTCTTGATTTTTAGCCTCTTTTTTTAATCATTCATCTATTTTTCGATTTTTTGTGCTAAGAACGAAAAGGGCTGTCAATTGTATCTCAAAGAGAATTTCCGGATTAACCCAAACACCGTGTGAGGGAAATTAATCTCTTTAGGAAAGTGTTCACACACCTTTGACAGTGTATCAAGATCATAGTCTCAAGGGGCATTGCAATTCTCATGTTCATGCGGTGTTGTTTCGGCTTGGAGTTAAGGCAAGTTTGATTATCTTCACAATTAGTGTAGTCTTAGTAATTTTTCTGTAAATTACTTAGATATATTAATACTTGATTGTAACACCTTTGTTGTGTTTGATTTAATTACATAACATTGTTATTGTAATCATATTATCTAGGTTTTGTTCCCACACTTACTTAAGTATTTTGCTTGATTGTATTCACTGTAAAACCTAACAATACTTAACAACCTAAAGAGATTAGTTCTTAGAATTTATCAAGTATGTCTAGTGTGAAGGAATTGACTACTAACTTCATCAAACTCAAAAAGTTTGATGGTGTTGAATTTAGGAGATGGAAGAAGAAAATGTATTTTCTTCTTGCATCTCTTAATGTTGCCTATGTGATAAGTACTCCAAGGCCAGGTGAACATGAGAATGAGACCTTGGAAAGAGTTCGGGAAAGATCGAAATGGGACAATGACGATTTCATTTGTCGTGGTCACATCTTTAATGGGATGGAGGATGATTTGTTTGATGTTTACCAAAAACTTTGAGTCGACAAAGGAGCTTTGGAAGCCTTTGGAAAACAAATACATGGCCGAAGATGCATCAAGTAAGAAATTCTTAGTTAGCAATTTTAATAGTTATAAATTTATTGATGGTTGATCCATAATGGATCAATTTCATGAGTTGCAACGTATCTATGGTAGCTTAGAACAACCTGGTATTGCTATGAATGAGTAAGTTTGTTGTATCTAGCATAATAGACAAATTACCCCCTAGTTGGAAAAATGTGAAGCATGACTTGAAACATAAAAAGGAGGACATGACTTTGTCCGGTTAGGCCACCCATCTTCAAATTGAAGAAGGGATTTGTGCCATGGAAGGAGCTAAGGATGGAAATCCTAGCTCATCTACCGTTAATATGGTAGATGAAGAGAGAGCTAGTGCATCTACTAGTGGAAAGAGGAAGAACAATAATTCTTCCAAGGGTAAGTCCAAAAAGCAAGCAAACAACAACAAGTTTGCTTGTTGGGAATGCGGTAAGGTTGGACACCGCAAGAAGGATTGCTTTTCATTTAAGAAAAGGATGGACAAAGCCAAGGAGGGTCGTGCTAACACTAGCAAGGACCCATCCATCAAAGGTAATCCTATTCATGAGGTGGAGTTTAATTCTGGTTTGGATTTAAATGCAACGGATCCTAACATTTTTATTGTGCAGGATGATGACTCATGGTGGATTGATTCGGGGGCTTCAAGGCACGTATGCAAGAGTAAGCATTAGTTCAAAACCTTTCTAAAGGTTGTTGATGGAGAAGATCTCTACATGGGGAACAATACTACCATCAAGGTCCTTGGAAGAGGGCAAATTGAGCTTGTGTTTAGTTCGGGGACTGCAATTCTTCTTAAGAATGTTTTGTCTGCTTCGGAAATTAGTAGGAATCTTGTACCCGGGCCTTCCCTGAATAGTCTTGGCTATAAGCTTGTATTTGAAGCTAATAGATGCATAATTACTAGGGGTGTAATATTAATAGGTCGTTGCTATTTGGATAATGGTTTGTTTAAACTTTCTTTGAAAGACAAGTATGTTTGTAATGATGATTTATGTTTGAATGTTGATGTCAATGATAATCATGTTGATTTAAGTATGTTTGACTTGTGGAATTCTAGATTAGGACATGTGAATTATAATAAAATGCTTTTCATGTCAAAACAAAAATTGATTCCATGTTGTGATATATCTCCTAATAAGTGTTCTACTTGCGTGTTGAACAAGATCACTAGAACTCCATTTAAGAGAGTTGAGAGAAGTTCTAACATTTTAGAACTAATCCATAGTGACTTGTGTGATTTTCATAGTACTCCTTCTTTGGGAAACAAAAGATACATGGTCACATTTATTGATGATTATTCTAGGTTTTGTTATGTGTATCTTTTGCATTCCAAAGATGAAGCTTTAACCAAGTTTGATGTTTATAAAAGAGAAGTAGAATTGCAAGTAGATTCATTTATTAAGAGAATGAGAACTGATAAGGGAGGGGAATACTTTAATCTAGCTTATTTCCAATCTTTGGGTATAATTCATGAGACTACAGCTGGTTATGCACCACAATCAAATGGTGTAGCTGAAAGGAAAAACAGAACCCTTGAAGAAATGGTTAATTCCATGTTATCTTACTCTGGTTAAAGTGAAGGGTTCTAGGGTGAAGCAATGTTGACAGCATGTCACATTCTTAACCGGGTTCCCACCAAGGGAAAATAATCTACTCCTTATGAACTTTGGTACAAAAGAAAGCCAAACTTGAAGTATCTCAAGGTTTGGGGTTGTAGGGCAGTCGTGAGAGTGCCCGACAACAAGAAAAGAAAGCTCGGTGAAAGGGGCTTGGAATGCATTTTTATAGGTTATGCTGAGCATAGAAAAACCTATAGGTTCTATGTAATAGAACAAAATGACTACATATCAGTTCATTCGGTTATAGAGTCAAGAGATGCAATTTTTGATGAAAATCGATTTTCATCAATGAGTAGACCGAAAGATCTACAAATAAGTGCTAATGATAAGGAGAGAGTAGAGTTGGATGTACAACTTGAACCTCCTCATGAAGAAACATTCGATGAAGAGAAGGTTGAAACTCCTCAAGTTAGGAGGAGTACTAGGGATAGGAGACCTAAGAACTATGGTGATGATTTTATAATCTACCTAGTTGAAGGTTCTCGGGATATCCTTAGTTCTACTACTCCATAATGTTTCAATGTGGATAGTGACCCAAAGACTTATAGTGAAGCAATATCTTCCCAAGATAGTGCATTTAGGAAGGAAGCTATAAATGATGAGAGGGACTCCATCATGGGAAATAACACTTGGGTCTTAGTGGATTTACCTCCCGGTTGCAAATCTCTTAGTTGCAAGTGGATCTTCACTAGGAAAAGGAGACCAGATGGCTCCATATTGAAATTTAAAGCCAGATTGGTTATCCAAGGCTTTAGGCAAAAGCATGGTGTTGATGATTTGGACACTTATGCACCGGTTGCAAGAATTACCTCGATAAGGTTATTAATTGCAATGGATTCGGTATATAATCTAGTGATCCATCAAATGGATGTCAAAACAGCATTCCTTTATGGAGATCTAGAGGAAGAAGTGTATATGAAACAACCCGAAGGGTTTATTTTGGAAGGACAAGAAAATAAGGTGTGTAAATTGGTTAAGTCTTTGTATGGACTTAAACAAGCTCCTAATCAGTGGCATCAGAAGTTTGATGACACGATTCTGTCCTTTGGATTCAAAGTGAATCAATCCAATAAGTGTATTTATAGCAAATTTGATGACAAAGGTCATGGTGTCATCATTTGTCTATATGTTAATGATATGCTTATCTTTGGTACAAGTCTACAACAAGTAGAATTGACCAAGGAATTCTTATCCTCATCTTTTCAGATGAAGGATTTGGGGGAGGCGGATGTCATTTTGGGCATCAAGATCATTCGGGACAATGGAAGGATTATCTTAAGTCAATCTCATTACATTGAGAAAATGATCAAACGGTTTAATATGTTTGATAAGTGTCCCGTGAGCACCCCCATGGAACCCAATGTTAAATTGGTTAAGAATTCAGGGAAAACAGTTTGTCAATTGGAATATTCAAGGATAATTGGTAGATTTACTAGTAACCCGGGTGCACAGCATTGGCATGCAATTAGAAGGGTCTTGAGGTACCTTAAGGGTACGTTAGACTATGGTCTATCTTATAGTGGTTTTCCTTCGGTTTTAGAAGGATTTTCGGATGCAAGTTGGATTACTTACAAAGAGGATGACTCTTCTGTAAGTGGTTGGGTATTCATGTTTGGGGGAGGTGCCATATCCTGGTCTTCCAAGAAACAAACTTGCATTGCTGATTCCACTATGGCAGCAGAGTTTATTGCTCTTACTTCAGCTAGTAAGGAAGCTGAGTGGTTGAGGAATCTCATGTTAGAGTTGCCTTTGTTGTCTAAGCTAATGCCACCGATGGAAATTCATTGTGATTCAAATTCAGCTTTGATAAAAGCTTATAGTCAAGTGTATAATGGTAAGTCTCGACATATTTCACTTAGGCATAGCCTGGTGAAAGACCTTATCAGTGATGGGGTCATAAGTCTTGACTATGTTCCTACAAAATTGAATATAGCGGATTGCTTTACTAAAGCAATGCCAAGGCATTCCATTATTTTTTCTTTGAATGGAATGGGTATATGTCCAAAAACACAAATTTGCATGTGAAACCCAATCTAACGCTTGAAGAAATATCAAGTCTTAGATTCAATGTGGTTGAATTGCAATTTTGTTGTTTGTTAGCAATATTTGATGACCCATATTGCTATGGTACTTGTGATGTGTAAGGTAGCGTCAATTCAAAGTTCTCAAAGATTTAGAGTTGAGAAGCTCTAAATGAAAGTGTCTTGTCACAACGGCACATTTACGAATATGAGAACCTACCTATATAAGTTCGAATTTTAGCCGCTTCAAGAAGTCTAGATGGACATATAGACTTTGATGAACTTATGAAAGATACGGACACATGGCTGTTTAAAGGTGTGAAGTGATGATTAATTCTATTTGTCTTATGTGTACCTCACCTTCGAATGGTTGGATATATCCGCGTGATTCAATCCATATGGAAATCATGGGATATGATCATCGTTAAGTGTGTTGTACTAGGTGTCAATTCAATCCGAAGGGACATTGACATTGATGCATGACATGTGGCTAAATTGATAGAATTGGAGAATGTTTAAAGGAACACTCTAAATGGGGGAGGATTGATAGATATTTAGAGTGTTGATGGTTGCGCGCTCGCGACCATGAAGAAGCGCTCGCGCATTATAGGCGCGACCACGCAGAGATCGCGCCTTTAAAACCGCGCACGTCTCTGGAAAATCTGTCGGATTTCGGAGGCGCACCCGCGTCTTGAACGCGCCTAAACCGTGGACCATTTTGGAAAAATCTGAAGAATTTGGGCAAAGAAGGAGGCGCGCCCGCGCTGCTGTGGTGGCGCGCCCGCGCTTCTTGTCGGTTTTGCGGTTATTGCGTCGGTTGAGTCTATTTTATATAGAACTTGCTTTTTACAAAAAAAAAAGATACAGAACATTATACCTTCATTCTCTCCCTAAGTATTCTCCATAATTTCTCTCAAACTTCTTGCAAACTTTTGTGAGAAATCCTCTTGATTTTTAGCCTTTTTTGTGAATCATTCATCTATTTTTCGATTCTTTGTGCTAAGAACGAAAAGGGTTGTTAATTGTATCTCAAAGAGAATTTCCGGATTAACCCAAGCACCGTGTGGGGGAAATTAATCTCTTTAGGAAAGTGTTCACACGCCTTTGACAGTGTATCAAGATCGTAGTCTCAAGGGGCATTGCAATTCTCATGTTCATGCGGTGTTGTTTCAGCTTGGAGTTGAGGCAAGTTTGATTATCTTCACAATTAGTGTAGTCTTAGTAATTTTTCTGTAAATTACTTAGATATATTAATACTTGATTGTAACACCTTTTTTGTGTTTGATTTAATTACATAACATTGTTATTGTAATCATATTATCTAGGTTTTGTTCCCACACTTACTTAAGTATTTTGCTTGATTGTATTCACTGTAAAACCTAACAATACCTAACATTCCATAGATTCATCACTCAAACCTCTTGCTCATTCTTCCAATTTCCAATTTTTGTTCTCCATTGCCCATCATCCTCAAATGCAAAAGGTTCACATTAGTTATATTCTTTTTATTACTTATAAATTATAATATGTGGCTAAAGAGTAGTATAGTATTTTTGTGCGAACGAGCTACAAGAGCAATACAAACTACGGTGGGTGAATCTGTGGCATATTGTATACAAGTCTTCAATCTTAAAAACACTAGGCCAAAACCTTATTGGTGTCAAAGAGTAAAATGTGAATAGTATAAAAATTACAAATGTTGCAATATTAAGGGAGCAAAGAAATTATTGAATTTTAAATGATTCAATAATAATAGGAGTAGAATTCAAATTGACAAAAGGTTTGATTTTTATATATATTAAATGAAGAGTACTCACCATAATTTTTTCTAGCTTGCTAGTTCATTATATTCTTAAAAAACCTTTGAATTTTTAAAAGGTAATTTTAGTACACGATTAGTGGTTGTATTGTTGTAAGTGTTTAGAAAATATGTATTTGTGCTAAAGTAGTAAATTACTGAGATGAGAGGTATATATATAAAGAGCATGTCAAAATTAGGAATTTAGATGATCTCCGCAAGTCTTCATGCTTATTAGTGCACGCTTGAAGCTTTGAAGTTAGTTGCATGGTGAAGCAATGGCCAAGGCCTAGCACAAGCAAGGGGTGCCAGGTTTCAAGGACTGCTAACTAGTGTTAATCCACATATCACATATTTATATTTCCCAAACTATATGTAATTCTAGTTACAACCTCTGCATTGGTATCAACAAGCTTTTATAATTATGTAGGCCTCACATAACATTTCGAGTGTTTTGTGTTAATATTGTTAGGACGATATGCAATTCCATAGATTCTTCACTCAAATCTCTCGTTCATTCTTCCAATTTCCAATTTTCATTCTCCATTGCCCATCATCCTCGAATATAATTGGTTTTTGGGATTTGTTTTATTTTTTTTTCTATTTAGGTTGGACATGGATGATTAAGTTTCGGAATTTGATTTTCTTGATTCAAAGGATTTTGGGTAGTTTCATGAAATTAGCTTTTACTAAAATGGCTAATTCAACAAAATCTGATTTTAATGAAGTCTCATCATTCCTCATCATTTCCTTCCTCTTCCAATGCAAGAGAGGCATCCACCAGGTCTTTCTCAAAACTATCCCATTCCCCATTCCATTCCTTTCTTTTGTTTAAACTCCATTTTGGACACTATCCTACGTTGCCACTCCAACTCTCAATTTTGTAATTCCACTTTTATATTGTCTTTCCTGGGTTCAGATTTAAATAACTGGAGCGTAACCAGAAAATTGATTAGGATGGTGATCCATGGTAGCATGAGGTAACAACTTTGCCCAGCTTGTGTTTGCATATCCTTCGTCGATCATCCCCTTCTCAACCATTAGTCCAAGTGTACATCATCATCCCCCGGAAGTTGATATCATATAAAGCATTTATACCTTTGCATTCATCAAAATAGTTCGCTCCTCTAATATTCATTATATATTTACCAGCTTTTTTTCACGATAAGAGTACTTGATTAAAATCCCCTAGAATAATAGTTGGTATTTCCTAAACTTGATTTAGTCCAATTTTTAAAACTATCCAAAATCTCGTCCCTGTTAAACACATTGGGCTCCCAATACAACAAAATAAATCTCTAGTTTCCAAAAAACGAGTCAGAAACATGAACTACAGCGAAATTAAAACAAGAAAATACAATCATAAAATGATTTCTAAGTTCTTGCCTAATATTTAAAGCCCAGACCTCTTGATCTATTGTAAACAAAACTTTTGGATTCCATGATCACTCATCTTCCTGGATTCTCAACCTTGCAAGCTTGTTGGTGACAACAACGTCAAGTTGTGCAGCACGCTCGACAATGTCTTTTCTCTTTTTGGTTGAGATATTGGGAGCAATCTCAGCACAGTAAGTCTTGAAATAGGCAACGTATACCAGTCAACAAATACATGAAAGAGAGAACAAGGTAACATTGTGAAAGCAAAAGGGATCAAAGAATATAATGGGAAATCTGTTACCTGTTGTGCATCATCAGAAGTTCAAGGTCACCGACGTTATGCACAACAAACTTCTTAAAGCCATTGGGGAGGAAGTGACGTGTCTTCTTGTCAGACCCATAACCAATGTTTGGCATAAAAGTGACTCCCTTGAACTTTCTCCTCACTCGCGAATCAATACCCTTTGGCCTACGCCAGTTAGTCTGCAAGGTACATTCAGATTAACTAAGAGACAAAATTGATAACACAACTCCATAGTCAAATGGCAAAAGCTAGGGTTTTTTTTTATACAGTAGCAATATTACTGGCCTCAGAAGAAACAGGCAAACAACCCCTACAAGAAAAAATATTATCAACCTAACAAGGCTCTATCAACTTCACATTACAATTAGTTTTATGTTTTAACTTCAAGTTCATACCAAACATAGTAAAAAAAAACTGCAATACACACCTTAAATTTTTGTATAAAAACATCACAAGTCAAAACATGCACAACCTACCAAAAAATTCAATCAATTGGATAGACTGGTAGACATGGATAATAAAACACCAACCCACTTTATAGGAAAAATAAGAAAATTTAGACTTCAACATTAGGCCAAGTCATAAATGAATACTGAGGTACAAGCTTAATACATGAATATCAGAACAAGGATGCCATCTTATTTACTAGCTCGTGATACAGATTTAACTGCGAGTATTACAGAGTATATATTATCATACCATATTAGGATACAAGAGACCAGTTACAAGTCTACAACACAAAATAAATCAAACAGGGTGCCTCTGATTCAATCCGTCGTCTTGCCATTCATCATTATATACCACTCATAGGTCATAATTCATTAGTTATATACCATGTACCACTCATAGGTCATAACTCATCAGTAATATACCTTACGCCACTATAACTAACTAAAACTTCCCAAATTAGATCATCAATACACTAATCTATGCCAAACACATTGTATCTTGTAATCTTCCTAGCCTATGAATAATTAAGAAACCAGCCAAACAAATTATATCTTGTAATCTTCCTAGCCTATTAATTAATCAACCAACTCATATGAACTTCGTCTCAACAATTATACCACTCAGCATAAAAACTACCATTTTCACATAGAAATTGACTAAAAACAACATTAAAATCCCAAAAAAATAAATTTGTTGCAAATATTATACCTTCACACAGATCTTTCGGTCAGATTGGGGTCTCTTGAACTGCTTGAACCTCTTCTTCACTATCTTCTTATCAAGCTTGGGAACCGCCATTGCTTATTTCTACAAAATTAACCAAAAATATACAAACAAATTAGTATTGATACGAGTGTATACATCAACATTTCATAAATTTAATCCAGGTATATTTTCATATAATAGTTGCACTATACATTCAATTACTGCCTACATTATATACATTCAATTAACAACAACCGTTACACTTAACATTCAACAAGAGTATAACTGTATATGATTATTCTGAAAACTTATTGGTAGCAACAAACGAAGGTGGATTACTCGAAATCTATAACACGCTCATAGCATACCATAAACCAACAATGAAGCTCGAAGACTTGAAATAAAAATGCAACCTTATTATATAGTCATTAATTTGCAAGATTGTACTAATTACAATCAATTATTCCAGATTGTCTAAACATAGACCACAAAATATTTTTAGATAAATTAAGCCATAATTTTAAACTGAAAGTAGCTTTAATTTTGTTGAAACAACAACTGATATTCGCAAATTGCAAAAATATAATAACAATTAGGTCAATCTCTCAAATAAAAGGGTAGTCTATAAATCGCATTAATTTTTTAAAAAAAAATTAGCTTTAAATCTGGTTGAAACAACAAATAAAGTTCGTAAATTGCAAAAATATAACAATCGGGTCAAACACTCAATAAAAGGGTTATTCTACAAATCCCATAAATTTTAACAAAAAATCTACAACTTAATCTTCAATTATAATATTCAAGGCAACACAGAAAATTCGAATAAAAAAGAAGGGATTTTTCTTTATTTAAACAGGAATTTAAAAGAATGAAAACCAAATTTAATCAACAAATACAACAACGACTACAAAAACTAAGCATAAACGAAGAATCTGACATGAAATTGAGAAGAAAGAAGAGAGAGAAACCTGAGATTGAAGTAGAGGAGAGAGAAAAGTGGCGCAGAGTGATAAGTGAAGAAGACGAAGAAGGGAAGTGATTATAAGACTAAAACCATAATTTTTTAGCAGTGGGCTAATGTATGGGCCTGAACTATAAACCTAGAACATTTTAAGTTATGGGCTTTTTATCATAGTTTAGAATTATTATACAAATTTTTACCTACACTCTATTGTACGTAGAATTCCCTACACCCCCTCCCCACTGTATCACCCTACATCCTTCCCCACTACATCTCCCCCGAGAAAATACCTGTTAATATGCCATATTAACAGCGCCCGTTTATATGGGGTCATCCGCGTCATTTTGCCAGGTATAGTAAGGGTAAATTCGTCAATAACAATTGTTTCCTTAACTGAAGAGTAGCGACGTCAATTCTTACCAAACTAACGTCCGTAGACCCCATATGTTGAACCCGTTCGAAATTATTATGACCCTGTTGGTAATTTCCCCTTCCAACTTCACCATTCCTCATCCAACTTCAGCTCCTGGCAATGGACCTAACACTAACTTCGTGAAGAATTGACGCGAATTCAATTGCTAAATGTTGTGGAGTCGATTTGCAGTACCGAACATAAAGGTGTGAGGAGGTCAGGTGGAGATTGCAGTACTAAAAAAAATCAATTCAAGATGCCGAAGAGGAGATTGAGGAGGGGGGCTAGGGTTTCGGAAGGTATGTGTCGTATCCTCTATTATAACCTATTAATCCGGTGTTTAGGTTTGATTGTGGATTGAATTGTTTATGTGACACGATTTAGTTTATCTCAGTCATATTTAATGTAATTGATATGTAATTAAATGATTTTAATTGATGGTGTAATTGCTATGGGTTAAAATGCGCAATGATGGTGAAAAGGAATTCCATAGCAACACTTAGTTCGCAGTGAGCATGGTTGCAATTGGGATTGAAATAGTATGTTGATAGTTTAGTTATTTGATTGTGCCCAGGATTGTTGTTGATAAAGTGAATGGATAAATTGCTTGCATAGTGAATTGAAATGCTATGGATTTAAAATTTGGTATGTTGAAGGTTGATTAGTGAATGGATAAATTGAATGGCGTAATGAATTGAATTGCTATGGATTTAAAATTTGGTTTGTTGAAGGTTGATAATTGAATGGATAAGTATCTTGCATAGTGAATTGAATTGCTATGGATTTAAAATTTGGTTTGTTGAAGCTAGGTTGATATGGATTTAATTGCACGTTGAAGGTGTAAATGAATAGTGCATTAACAGGTGGTAGTGAGTTAGGTTGAAATGAAGTATGGCAGTACATGGGAATGACTTGATAGTGTATTGATATAATTTGTAGTTGGAATGATTATTGTGGAAAGGAATTTCTTTCCAAGAATGGATTCACGGGGGAATTCGAACCGGAAGCGAAAAATGTGCAGAAATGGATTTGTTTCTGGGTAGATTATGCAACTTATACTACAATATATACTGATATATTCACGTCCCTGTCAATTAAGCGAGGTAATGTTTGTAAGTAAGTAAATAAAATCAAAATTGATTTTGTCATGATGGAGGATCGGGTCACATGAAGAAGCTTTATCCGGAGATATTCAAGGTAATTATAAGTGTTGTTTGTTGCATAGTTGTATTTATGATCATTAAATTGGTTAACGTAGTGTCATGTTCCTGTAGGATGACTCCTTAAATGTTGGTAGGGAAGTGAAAAGGAAAGGTGAAGTGTTGGTACAACATTTGAAGGCTCGATTTAGGGTAAGTTCTGAATATGAATTTTCATTATTAGTATGTTATGATGTGGTTGACCTGTTGTAGGCTACAAGTAGGCTGAAATTTCTGAAATGCTTAGCTTTTATGGAATTGTTTTCCTTTGATGTGATGCATATCTATTACAGCCAGCTAATACAAGTTGTCGGATAGAGTCGTTTGGTAGAATATGCAAAAAATTCGACGAGCAACGTAAGCGATGGGTCAGTGAAATGGGGTTTGCTGGGCTGTTAAAAATTGGAGGTGATATGAACCTCCCAGATAGTTGGCATACTGGCTGATGACTCGAATTGATCCCTTTAATTGTACTCTTATTAGCCAAGACGGGAGAGTTTTTAGGCTTTCGCAAAATCAGGTTCATTGGGTCTTATGTATTCCTAATGGCGGACTGCCTGTCCCGACATACCGTACATTGGACAATAAAATGTCAGAAAAGGTAAAAAAAATTATGGAGACTTATGGTAAATCCTGGAATAATAAGTCCATTAAAACTGGTCGTGAGTACATATTTGAGGGCATTCCAGTTAATGCTAAACTAATTGGTCGGGTCGAGGGAAAATGGGAGGAAGATCAGTCGGATGAGTTCAAGACAATTTTCTTGTTGTTGTCGCTTGAGATGTTGTTATGCCCTAATCAGTCGTCGAGGTTGGACGCTGATCTGGTGCCATCATTAACGTGTGCTTCCAAAGCTGCTGAATGTCATTGGTGTAGCCTTGTGTTAAAGAAGCTCATGGATAGTGTAGCGATGTTTGCTCAATGGTTTTACTCATCTTGCTTTTCTAGTGGATGTGTTGGTTGCCTCATCTTTATTATGGTATATGACTTTTTAGTGGCTTGGTAAGTTTGTTTGGGTTGGAGTAACCATTTTAATAGAGATCTCTGGTTGTAAACAGGTTATGTATCTTGATCGATTAAATAAACATCCTGTATAGTGGGGGTGTTTCTCGAGGTTGGAGGTTTAGAACATGAAAGAGATACGTATGGCAATTCGAGAAGATCGTCTCCCAAATGGGGGTGACTTTGGACAGCTTGGGGGTAAGATTCTAGCTATTGTACTTGCAATTAATTATCAAATTTGTTTGTTGTATTGATTTGAGGTTTGTTTATAAGACTTTGGATGTGGCATACGGTGAAAAGCATCCTACGGAGGCAAGGGACACAAATGGGCCTCAGGGGTCAATGAAGGTGGTGGCAAACTTTATGTTGAGATTAAAAAACTACAACTACTGTTTTAATATGCAATTTTCACCTATGTACACTTGTACAGGTTGAGAGATTGGGTAGTTTTAGTGTTTGTTATAGGAGTAAGGGTGCATGAAAACGAACCCCCAATAGTAAGCATCAGAGGTATAACACAAGGAATATGAGGTATGTAGGGGCAGATTTCAGCTGCCATGAAGAGTGTACTGGGGAGAAGACAATCTTATCACATGGTAAAGACAAGATGAGCTTGCTGAACACTGTTGACCCATAATGCTTTAGAATGGATAACTTGAAGAGGTATGTGAAGGGGTATGGTTTACACTGATTCATCAATTCTAAAACATGTTTTTTGGTTTCTTGTTTAAGTTAGTATATGTGACAGATATTAATTGACATCTTTGGTGTAATTAGGTGGATATCGGTTGAAGCTGTATACACACTACAAAAAATTACGTCATGGGTTAGTGTGCATTTGCAATCATTGATGAAGTTCAGATAACAAAGGCTAACTTCTGTTGTTCTGCCTTAGGTTATAAGGTCGGTTAATTCAATGGACTTTCCTTGTGCAGCAGGTCCCTCATTCTTTTTGTCATTGTCGGTTTATTACATGTGTTGTTATTGTTGTTTATTTTAACATTTGTCATTATACAAACAATAATGTCTTACCCCTAACCCAATCTTACCTTACCAGGTTGAGGTAGTGTTATTTCCGGGTGGAATTGGTGTAGAATCTAAGTCCAAAGGGTCAATTAAGCGTTTTCTACGTAGTCAATGCTGTGCATACTTGGCCATTTTGTCCGAGGTACTTCTATCTAAACGAGAGCATCCTCTTAATCCTTATAAATTATGTCGTATATCATTATGTTTATGCTGCTATAGGTTTATTTGGGTATTTGGTTTTATATTTCTTGACATCTTCATATGAATAGGTTTTTGCTGCTCTAGTTATTTCCTCTCCATTGTTGTCTCGTGCCTGTGTTGTTGTCAAATCTGGAAATGTGGAAGACCTTTTTCTGATACACTCGAACTCAGTGACACCAAATATAAATGTGATTAAGAAGCGTGTAAGTGGTTAAGGCAAGAAGTGTGTATTCCATCAACTTGTTTACTGTTGTTAATCAAAATAGGTTACTGACTATGTCATCCCCAAATTCAAGTGGAAACATTGATGAACTTGTTCAAGAAATCCAAACTCTTTTCTTTAACGACTATTCCTTCGTTGATAACACCAGCAACGTGATCATTAGTAAAGATATGAAGTGCAACCACATATTGAAAAGATGATCG